AGCCGGCTTCTCCAAGACCAGTTTCAGGAAAACGTTTCTCTGTCTCTCTCTTTCTCTCTCTCTCTCTCTCTCTCTCTCTCTCTCTCTCTCTCTCTCTCTCTCTCCTCCTCCTCCCTCCTTCCTTTTCTCCCTCCCTCCCTCCCTCCCTCTCTCTCTCTCTCTCTCTTTCTCTCTCTCTCTCTCCTTTCTCTCTCTCCTCCTCCCTCCTTCCTTTCCTCCCTCCCTCCCTCCCTCTCTCTCTCTCTCTCTCTCTCTCTCTCTCCAGAGCCTAAGCAGTCTTTCTCTGGCATTTAGAGTTTTCTCATGACTTCTCTGAAGCTATCCCCTCACCGTGCAGCCAGCTGCTGACGTGTCTCCATTGCTGAACATGTTTGCCTAACCAAAAGGCATGGTTTTCTCTCTTCTTTATCTTTCTCCTGCCTGCAGCTGATTATTGCAGTCTCTAATAAAACCGTCCCCAAGCTTCCTGCTGAGTTCGTTTATCAGTTCTTTTATTATGGAGACTAAGAACCCAAAGAGGGAACCCCAGTGTTCCTGGTAACAGATGGTGCCCAAAGTGGGACTCTCTAAAATTTTCAGTAACACTGTAAGATTCAGTCACGAATGTGGCTAACGTTGTTTATCAGAAACTGCATTATTTTCACGATGGAGTAGACGAGGTTAAATGTTACAGATCTTCGTGTACGCCTTGCTGCTTTTGTAATTTTGGGCATGGTGTATGTGGACGTACACTGGTCACAGTGTGCATGTGGAGGCCAGAAAATGACTTCTGGTGCCCCTTCCAGCATGTGTGATCTTGGGGTGGAATTCAGTCAGCCTTAGTGGCATACCAGATGAGCCATCTCGCCAGCTCAAGATCTTTCTTTAAATGTTTAATTTTAAGCTCTCCTATGAGAAAATTAGCTCTCCCCTTAAACATCCTTGTCACCTTGGATAAAGCCTGTGGTTGGAATAATGGCACTGTCTTTCTAGAGTCACTGTCTCCAGGTGTTGCCTGCTGTGCACTGCTGTGCACTGCTGTGCACTGCTGTTAACGAGTAAGACTCGGTCATGACCATCAAGACTGTCCGTTTAAGCAAAAGGCCCGTTACACACATAGCTGAAAGAGCAAAAAGCAAGTGCAACTTTCAAAAGTTTGAAAAAGGAACACATTCAGATTAGATGCAGCCGTCGAGGAAGGGCAGAGGAAAAGAAGTCGCCGAGGTAGCTGGACATAGTAAGTAGGACTTTGACAGAATCCGAGGAAAGATCTGTCAAGAGGAGGGGAAGACACAGTTTGTCCTGGCTGACAGGCATGGAGTGGAGCTGTTTGGGAAGGTTTTCTACCAGAATATTGTTTACAAATAATATTCCCCACACTAGCCTAACTAGATGCCTACTCCATAGATACAGCTGAAGCCATTCAGACAGGCTGCCTGCAATATCCCAATAAACCTAATCCCCTCCCAGCCTAGGAGATGCATCAGAATATGATATTTTATAATAGGAAACACTTGGGTGTGTTCCAGTGTTTTGTATATGTACATGTATGATTATATGCTCCTGGGTGTATGTATATACATGGGTGTGGATGGTTGCATTTTCCTGGTTTTCCACCCTATTTTCTGATATAGGATCTCAATCTCTTTCTCCTGATAGGAGACAGGATTTCATTGTGAAACTCTGGCTGACTTGAAACACACTATGTAGACCAGGATGCCCTGGACCTCAAGATTACAACCTGAGTGCTGGGATAAAGGTGTGTACTTTTGCCACGCTTGGCAAAGTAGGGTCTCTTAATTGAACATGGAGCTTGAATGCACGGCTTGTCTAGCTGGCCACCATACTCTAAGTATTTCCTTCCTCCAATTCCCTGTCCTGGGGTTATAGGTGGACTGTTACAGACACCGACTTCTATGTAGTAGGTTCTGAGAGTTTGGATTTGAGTCCTCATACTTCGTGCCCTACTTTACATCTCCCAAGCCACGTTTTAATTTTTAACGAACGTAACTTTTTAACTCTCGTACGAGTCTTCATCAGATTGTTCCCTGCCCGGGATGGTGGTAATGACTGCTTACTGGACATCAGTGGTACAGGAAGTAAGGGTGGAAAATGGTCTTTCATGCAGAAATTTGGACACTGATGAGAAAGAATGCGGGCTACATTTAGGAAGTTCACCCAGGAATGTAAGGAACCCACAATTAGTTAGTGGGGACAGAAACATGAATCAACCAGGCTTGGTGACTGGTGCCTATAATCCTAGCACCCGGAAAAGCTGATGAAGGAGAATTACCAGCTCAAGGCCAGTCTTGGCCACATAGTAAGGCCCTGTCTTAAAAACACAAAGACAGGATGTGATCACGAGGCTACTGGGGAAGACAGAGAATCGGGAATATGGCAAATGCAGACGGAGGCTTTATGAGGATCTGGGCCTGCCTAATTTGTCATCTCTGTCTCTAGCTCTAGTGTGACCGGGCAGTTCACTACACTGGTGAAGCCAGACTGCCGGGTTCCGGCTGAGAGCTAGCTCTTCCACTAACAGCTCTATATGACCCCGGGCAAGGTAACCAACCTTTGTGCCTTCTTTTCCCAACAAGGTAAGACGAACCATTGTGTCAAGGTCACGGGGCAGTATCAGGGGCTCAGTGCAACGGCACTTAGGAGAATGTCTAATGATACCCAGACACGTACACACCACACAAACACAGCTTTTTCATGTCTAGTACACAGACACGTACACATTACACGCACACAGGTTTCGTGTCTGATACCCAGACACGAAACACACTACACAAACACAGGTTTTTCATGTCAGATACCCAGACATGTAGACTACACACACAGCGTTTTAATTAGTGAAATATTGTAACCTTAACAAATCTGAAACAAAAATAGTATGGGGAAGTGATAGTTAATGACACAAAATACAAAATGATACTTCCATTTGTAATGCCAGGGGTTAGAGGGATAAACGGGGTTAGAGGATAAGGGTGCAGAGACTTAGAGCCCTGACCCCCACCTTCTGCCTATGCTCCACAGCTTTCTCAGGTTCCAACAAAGTTCAGTTCCACTGGCCCCCTGCAGCAGTACCTCCAAGAAGTTAGGCTCTTCCTGCTAGGTTATCTTCCCACCTCTGTTCCTACAGTTTAGAGAGAAATAGCGCCTAGATCCAACAAAGAGCAGCTCAATGGCTTAGAGGTGAATCGGAAACTTCTTCAAATGCGGTAAATGTTAAGTCCCCCAAGAACGTAGGCGCCTTGTATGTGTGAGTAAGAAAGACTGAAGGTGTGAGACAGGAATCGTGGTTGACAGAAATGCAGACTATTGAGTAACCCGCATACCCAGAGCAAGGTTCTAAGGAGTCCTGGAACACGCTAAATATTAAGAGACTATTAATGACTGGATTTTTCTATAACTTCAGGAAACGACTCTAAGAAGAAAATTTCCATTCAAGTTGATAGGCGAAGGCCGTGGTCCGAGCAGTAGGAAGGCGAATAATAAATACACGCAGATTTTTATCGATATGTCTGGTAAGAAAGAGAAGTTGGGACGGGGAAGGTGATTTTTAAGGATAAATTCTGATTTCAGGGTCTGACGTCCGCGAGAACACACCTCCCGAGGGTCCTCACAGTGCAATACCTGCATCTCGGAGACTCTGGGATGCAGACACATCCTGGGGTCCTGCCCCAGAACCAGTGACAAAGCCCACGGGCGGGGACCTCGCCATCAGCTTTAACAAGTCTCCAGTCCGCCGCGGTCAGGGGCGGGGCGGCGGGCGGGCATGGAGTCAGCCTCGCCCTCAGCCGTCTGCACAGCAGAGCAAGGAAGCCCAGCTCCAGACCGGGGCGGACTGGTCCATCTCGCGCCCGTCGAGGGGCGTCTTCCCCCTTCCATCCCCACCCGGAGCGGAGAGGCCGGACAGAGAGAGAGAGAGAGAGAGAAAGAGAGAGAGAGAGAGAGAGAGAGAGAGAGAGAGACT